CGTAATATATTGAAAAACCTCAAGAACCCGACGCTACTTAAACCTTAAAAACAACGTAAACTACGTAATAGTATATGGAAGATTATACGTAAAGTCTCTCATGTTGTATGCGTTTCAACTTAGTTGATATTAATACTAACGAAAATGCCTACGAAAGCTAAAGATCCTACATATCTGGAACACAACGTATCTATTAGTAGTGAGCAACATTTTGATCAAGTAAACGAATTAAAATAATTCAGAATATTCAGCGGTTCGGCGTCGCGTGCGACTACGAAGTAAAGTCAACGGCACACGATACTATTTTTCATACTGGATTGCTTACGCGAACCAATCAGAATTTAGCTTGAAGTCATTTAAAACTCTGCATCCTGATTGGTTTGATTGGCGATTGATCTATCGCAAAGGCTGGTCTAATATACAGTGCCTTCGAACTTTCGGAAGTGGCTTTTAAGCGTCGTCTACAATACGTGGAATAAGCTTGGAGTAAGGAGTAAGAGAGAACAATAACTTTTAGCTTTTGATGTAAAGAAGCTGAAATACAGGCATAATTGTTAAAGTATTTGTAATACTGGCCGATGGCATTTTGATTTACCGAGAATAAGCGTAAGAGCTGAAGTAGAAGTAAGAAATAAAACTAATTTATTTCTTTACTCCTACTCCTTACTCCAGGCTTACTCCATGTATTGTAGACGACGCTTTAGAGTTTATAGCAATATCCTCGCGCGCGTCGCAATGGCTACGTTCGGAGAAATGCTTGTACGATGATCGAGTATACGTTTATCGACTACATGCTATGCGAACAGTGGATGTTCCATCGTGTTTGACGATGTAATTAGTGTAAGTGGTTTTCTGACACACTTTGCTAGTACTATACATAGCGAGATAACAAAGCGGAACTTGTAATTAAATATGAATATACCAATTATCGGTTAGGGCTAGTTCCTTGTAGCCTAATAATTATTTAATGTAAATTTTATACAGTATGTTAGAAAAGTCTGGAAACGGTCAAATATCTCGAAAACGAAACGTTTTTGAGAGAATGTTTCTAACCAAAGTTGTAGAGTTTTAAAAGATCTATTCAACGATCATATCCATTTGACCTAGAGTGGAATAGAACTTTTAAAACCCTACAACTTTGGTTTTAAACATATTTCTCAAAAACGGTTCGTTC